TTAATCGTGTTACGGACAAGTTGACACCTCTTACTCAGCGCATATTTTGCTGTCGGTCTGGCTCTGCATCCGACACTCAGGCAATGGCAGATATCGTTAAATACCAACTTGACTTTCATAGATTGGAAATGGGGTGTGAGCCCACAGTCATAGAGGCAGCTACGATATTTCGACATTTTTGTTACAATTACCGTGACAGCTTGCTTGCTGGCATTTTTGTTGCTGGGTGGGATGAAGTTGAGGGCGGGCAAGTGAGTAAAAATTTGCTAATAAAAAGTAGATTTATTCCATTCCTGTAGGTGGTATGTTGACTCGACAACCAGCAGTCACAGGGGGCTCTGGCAGCACTTATATTTATGGATACTTTGATCGGTATTTCAGGCCCTCCATGAAGAAGGATGAGGCCATCGAATTTGTGAAAAATTGTAAGTTTGCTCCGTAAAATACCCCTATAGAACATTTCATTCTTTACTTGATTGTATTTTAGGTGTCACTCTTGCTATTCACCGAGATCAAAGTAGTGGCGGATGCATAAGACTGGCTTCAATATCAAAAGACGGCGTCGAGAGACAGCTCATCAAGGGTGACTCTCTGCCACCAGTCCAGTCACTTAATTTTTGAATCACACATTTCTCGACGAAATATAAACCACTGCCCACTCATTGATTTTATTACCTGATTTGCAGTTTTTCGCGCCCCTCGCGAATCACATTCTGTGGTTGCTGGCTTTCGAAAGCTGGTATTGCCCGTGGCCGTAGCGCCCTTCATCTTAACCACATATATCCGTTTCGTGCATGTGCTCCATGAGACCCGCTCTTTTGTATCAGTTTCATTTAGCCCTATATTTGAGAGTTTGGTGATGCTTTTTCCCCTTTTAACTAGGCCATATTACCTCTACCATACTGTTTTTAGCAAATTGACCGTTCGAGCATTCTTAAAAGAGGCCGCTCACTTATCTAAATCTCCCAGACTGATCAATTATAAGCAAGGACGAGGCGATACATGCTTAGAGAGCGGATGAGCAGTGCCCATCCTAAGCCTGATGACCCATCCACTGGGCGCGCCGCTAGCGATCGGTTCCGTGGAGTTGTTGTTATACAGGGACTTGATTAAGAACCGGCTAATCTGTTACAGGTATAATCCCGCCAAGCGTATTTTTCCAGTAAGGCTCACTATGGATTTTGTGTCCGGCTCTAGAATCAATCAGCTAGTTATTATCTTACGGGCAAACGTTAATATGCGCTTAAGCATCGGCCTCCGTTACTTATCACTATCGGTTGATTCGTAAGCATTAAAAATGGCAGATAGATCCCGGTCCGTTGGAATATTGCAAGTAAATTCGTGTACGCCTCCGCTTAAGTAGGGCAGACGTGCCCAATTTAAGAGTTAAGACTCAACAAATTACTGGAGATCTTGGAGGCGAGTGCGAAAGGACCATCAGGCCTGCGAAATATCTCCATCTCGATCACTCTAGCAATGTTAATGGGACTTACTGGCAGGATAAATAGCGACAGGACCAAGAGAGCTTAGGCAGCGGAGAGGGGCTGGCTGCATGGGGTGCTAAGTTGACTCGAGCGGCTTTTGAAACGGGTAATCATTGCGCTTCATTAGACCCACTTGAAATGACACCGGGCAAGATTGGAACGAAAAAACAAGTGTATGTATGTAATTTGGCAATGTAAAACGGATTTTAGGGACGATGATAGACCACTTGGAATTAGACTAGGGGAAAAGATTTCATAACTGTCAGAAAGAAAAGTAATTAGATTATTCTAGCTTACTACTGAAAGGTTGCAACTGGGAGACGGGAATGGAGTCTCACTGCAAATTTCGGTGGAGTGTCTAGGAATGTACTAAGTCAGTGTCTGGATGTTGGACACTAAATTACTATGGAAAAGAAGACAAAACCGGGTCTTACTCTGTCGGTATCAAATCGAAAAAATGTAGTTTAGACCAAAATAAAGACCCATAGGCTTTCAAAAGATATGGTGAACGTCGGCAAATAGCCCTAGGAAAATAGTGCAGATGGAGGAATAGAAATTTAGGTTGGACGAAAATAACAAGATGTACATGCCAGAAATAGCATATGATGATGAGGAAGCGACTAGTACGTGGGATGGAAATCGCTCCTAAAACCAATTTTGAATTAGATCAGAAGAAATTTTTTCACAACTGAAACTGAGGTAATCCGTCGATGTGCCCTACTTTATTGCGGATTATTATTTTACACGATTTGCTGATTTATTTCCAGTGACCTAATCCCGGTATAAAAAATACAAGTTATGAATACGGATTAAAAATATGGAAGCCAAGACTCCTTCATAGAATTGAAAGTATTAGTAGGATCAATAATAAAGCGCAAGAATTTTCAGCAGGCCTAGCAAGAGGAAAAAAAAAGCAAAACAGGTAGCTAAACATCTAGATTTAAATCGGGTACAAAGTGGCCTCTCTTACGAAGCCTCTTAAGTTTTT